GGTTACTGCAGAGCCAGCCCAGGAGATCTACAGGATACGTAGTTTCCAAAGGGCTCCCCACACATAAGTCCTTGACATCCCATTCCTTGCGCTTGCTGAGAAAGAAGATGTCTGTTTGTATCTGAGCAAGTTGCTTGAAGAGGCTGATGGATTTCCACTTCATTTGGCTAAATTGGGTGCTTTCCATAGTGGCTGAATTTAAAGATATAGCTGTGTTAGTCTCTAGAAATAATATATATAGTAGATTTTTCTTTTCAGTTATCTTCAGTTAAACGCCTGCACTCCTATCTGTCCCTGGCTTTCCATCCACCATAAAGATTCTGAAGAAGTATTCAGATTATTTGACGTTTTTAATCTGTTGCCTTCTTAGTATTAATATGCATTATTTTATTATTTTGTAGAATGTACGCCATTGGCAGGTTTTATCTGTTTTCCCCCCTATTTTATTGACTGTATGTACAGCGCTGTGTAAATCAATAGCGCTATATAAATAAACCGTAATAATAGTAATAATAATAATAATAATAATAATAATAATAAGTAGACCAAAGTCTATGAAAGCTCATGCTACAAATTTCTTTTTTTCCCCCAATTAGTCTCAAAGGTGCTACAAAATCTTTAAACATATTAATTTTACATATAGACTAGCACAGCTATATCTTTAAATTCTAGACAATGAAGAAATAGAAATAATAATAATAATAATAATAGGAGTAGGAGTAACAGTAAGAAAAAATATCTTATTCCGGAGTAGGATAAGGAGTAACCCCCAAATCATCACTATTCCCTAGTTCTAGTCTACACTGTAGAAATAATGCACTTTGATACCGCTGTAGTTCCATCTGATGGAATCCCTGGGATCTGTAGTTCGACAAGGCCTTTGAGCCGCCTCTGCCCTAGAGTGCGGGTGCAAGTCACACTCTCTCAGCTTCAGAGGATAAAAATCCCCCACCTGGGAGACTGCAGGTCAGAGTGGGCAGCGCTGGGCTGGATCGTCTGAGCTGGCATGATATGGATCTGGGGAGCTTTTATTGTTGTCTTCCCAGTACTGCATTTCTAGGGCTGATGGGAACTGGAGTAGAGGAGCCATGGGGAGAGAGCAAGAGGTAGATGGGATAGATGGTTGCTCTCTGCAACTGGGGGCACCCCCCCAGGGCTCCTCTACTCCAGCTCCCATCATCCCCAAGAGTGCAGCAGAGGAAATGCAGTAGTACACCCTTACCAGATCCATATCTAGAAGGGCCTGGTGGTGGATGGTTTGCAATGCCCACGGGTGGTGTAGTGGTATGAGTGTTGTTGGACTATGGCTTGGCCGTGGAAACCCACTGGGTGCAAGTCACACTCTCTCAGCCTCAGAGGATAAAATCTTCCATCTGGGAGACTGCTGGTCAGAGTGGGCAGCACTGGGCTGGATCGATTAAGCTGGCATGATATCCATACTGTACTCATAGTGGGGATGATGGGAACTGGAGTAGAGGAACCCTGGGGTGGATGGGTTTGCTTGTCAAAAGTCCCTCCGGAGAGGTAGATGGGGTAGATAGTTTTGGAAGGCATTCCAAACAAATGGGTCATCTCCCAAACTTGATACATGGAAAATCAGAAGAAGAGATGGAGAAGGATTGGGAAACAGTTACTAAATATTGTAAAAACAGATGGAAAGAGAACAAAAACCGAAATAAGGAAATAGGATCAGAGAAATTAAGGAATCAATAGGAATACTGAAGTTAACTTGGAACCCAACTCTAAGCGGAAGTGGAATTAATTTATAAGGAACCATCACACAAGATAAATGTTCTCAGTGGAAGTACAAACTATAAAATGCAAAAAGAAGAAGTGAACAGAAACATTTAAGAAGTAGAAAGTTTATTTTTTCTTCAGATAGAAACTGCAAGGCGATAAATATAACTGTACATAAGCAAAATAAGAATTCTAATGTGTATATAATGCCACTATATATATATATATATATATGGCATTCCACACATTGGTGTGGAAGATGGGCATTGGAGTAGAGGCCGCCTGGGGAAATTACCGTATCCTATGCACAGCCTAACTGTAGTTACATAGACATAGTTTCATGCACTTAATGTAAAAATTTGGTAAAATGTGTTGTTTTTTAAAGATTTTTTAAAAAGATTTAAAAATAAATTTTC